GAGGCGGCGGCGGCGGCGGGGGCGCGGGGGACGCCTTGCGGCGCTGCGAGGCCAGGATGGCGTTGGAGGCGGCGCGCGTGCTGTTGACCAGCAGGCACTGCTGGCACGAGCAGGGCTGGCCCGAGCTGGCGCCCACGGGCCACGACTGCGACTTGGGGATGGAGCCGACGGTGAGCGGGTAGGCGAGGTCCAGGCGGCGGCGCAGGCGGCGGCGGCGGCGCGTCTGGCGGTTCATCTGCGACATGCTGTTGAAGTAGATGAGGTAGCAGAAGCCGAGCGACGAGAGGTCGAGCCACGGGTGCTGCTTCTCGTAGGCGTTCTGGATGGTGATGCAGATGTCCATGTCGTAGGCCGTCCACGCGCCGCCGTCGTTCTCCCACTCCCACACGATGCCCTTGCCCGGCGCCGACGACGGGTCGTAGAAGTTGCGTCGCACCGGCCGCATGGTCCCTGTGCTCGGGATGGGGAGGGGACGTCAGCACAGGCGGGCGCGGGTCGGCACAGGCGGGGAGGCGGGGCTGCGGGCACTGGGGAGAGGGGTCAGGACAGGCCGGAGGGGCGGGGAACAGCACAACTGGGGACATGGGGGGGTTGGCACAGGTCCCCCAAGGGTGACATCAAGACGAGCGGTGGGGCAGAGGGAACCAACGCAGGCCTAAGAAGAGGGGATCAACACAGGTGGAGGGTCAATACTGTCAGGGGCGAGGGTGAGGAGGCCTCACCCGGGTTGCAGGAAGTTCAGTATATTCTGGACAAACGGGGCAGAGTGAGAGGAGGGCAGGGATGGGTGGTCAACCGAGTGGAGTGTGGGGGTGGGAGAGCCAACAACGGGGGTGTCCAGACAGCTGCGGGAGGAAATCAGCAAGGCATGGGAAGGGCAGGATAGTCCAGCTCCCCGTCCCTGCAAGGGTCAAGACAGGCACTGAAGTAATGGTTACCACAGGCCCTGGGGAGGAGGAAGGCAGGGGGTGCGTGGGTGCTGTTCAGGCAGGTGGGGATAGGGCAGGCATCCACAGAGACCAAGGCCATTCAGAGAGGTGGGTGGCATGCAGTCCCTTCTTTCATTAGATCACTCATTCATTCAACCATTTGTTCATCAATCCATTCATTATTTGTTAATTCAAGCACCAGTTCATTTATTCATTCAACAGTTCTTTCATTAGTTCATTCATTTATTCATGCCTCAGTTCACACATTGATCTATTCCTTAGTTCATTCATTCACACCTGCAGTCATCCACGAGGCTTTTTATTCTCCATCCTTAGCTCACTCCTTCATTCATGCATTTAGTTATTCATTTACTACCAGCCTATTTAAAAACATGCACCCCACATGCTTTTCCCTCTCTCCTTCCCTGCTGCATTTTCTCCATCTGATATGCTTTACATTTTACTCATTTCTCTTCATTTCTGTCTTCCCCTGCTAGAATGTTACAGCCACAAGGGCAGGGATTTTGCTTTATTTGCTGCTATATCCCCAGCACTTGCCCACAGTAGGTGCTCAAGAGATATTTGGTGAATGAATGAGTGAATTCATTAGTTCACACACTGATCCATTTTGGGTTTAGTTGTTCTCTTATTCATCCCGGCACTGGGCCTTCCTTCATCCACTTATTTGTTTTTTCATCCACCTGTTTGTTCATTTGTTCCTTCCTTCAACAAACATTGGCTGACTGTCTGCTCTTTGGAGGGCTCCACGCTGAGCACTCATTCAAAACCCACATAATGACTGCATGATAACATGGCCGGGTGGGTATTAATGGCCCCCTTTCATAAATAAGGGCTCTGAGGCTTTGCCCCCAGCCACTGCTCTATGTTTGCCAAAACTCTAGGTGTTCCCTGAGAGCAAGGCTCCATGGAAAACTCTGGGTTAAACAGAGATAACCCAAGGTCCAGACTGCAGGACTTCTCAGAGCCTTTCACCTGCTCTGGTTCTTGGGACTGGCGCAGAGAGATTCTTTTGCTGGGTTCATTTGGCAAACCTGTAGGAAGGCTGCACACTTGACTGCTCCTCAACTGTGGGCAAGTCCCTTAAACCTCCCCAGGCCTCAGTGGCCCCATCTTGAAAATGGGGGTTATGCTAATCCATGGCCTGCCTTTCCCCTCTCTGACAGGGCTGTGGGGAGGATTTGGTGAGAATAGCCACAGAGGACAGGGTCTGGGTGGGGCCTCAGGGCTGGGGAGGCAGGCAGAACACATTTCAAATCCTGATTTCCTGACTTTCCAGCTCTGTGACTGGTCAGGTGACTTCACGTGTCTGAGCCTCAGTTTTCTTATCCTGAAAATGGGCAGGAGCTGGCTGGTGAGCTCAGTTGGTTAGAGCATGGTGCTGATAACACCAAGGTCCAGGGTTCAATCCCTGTACAAGTTGGCTGTCAAAACAAACAAACAAATGAAAATGGGCATGAGCAGACCTTCCTTGTGGGGCTGCTATGAGGATCAGTTGAGATAAATACTGTTTCTACTCTGATGACTCCAGAATCTGCCATCTCCAGTCCCTTCTCCCCTGAGAGCCAGGTACATGTATTCAGCTACCTCCTTGACACTTCCCTGCAGATGTCTAACAGACATTTCAAACTCACCTGGGCCAAAGCAGAGCTCTGTTCTCCCCCTGCCCCAAACCTGCTCCTCTCAAAGTCTTTCCCACTGCAGTTACTGGCAGCTCCATCCTTCCGGTTGCTCATCTTGGGACCCTTGAAACTGAGACTCATCCTTGACTTCTTACCTCACACGCCACATTCAATCTGTTAGTAGATCCAGTTATCTGCACCTTCAAATACATTCCACATCTGACCACTTCTCAGGCTGCACTCCCAACACCTGGTCCAGGGCACTGTAGGGCTCCTGCCCGGGCTATTGTAATAGATTCATGACTGGTCTCCGATACTGCCCTTGCCCCCGTCATCTGTTCCCCACATGGCAGCCAGAGGGATCCTGTTCAATGCAAGTCAGATCACATCCTTCCTCTGCTCAAAATCCTGCATGGCTCCCACGCACTTGGAGTAAAAGCCTGTTTTCACCGTGACCTACAACACGCCCCCCACTCTACCCCCCGGTCTTCCTCTCTGACTTATCATCTACCTGCCCAGCTCGCTCACTCCACTCCAGTGCTGTTATTCAAACACACCAGGCACTGTCCAGCCTCAGGGCCTTTGCATTTGCTGTCCCCCCGCTTGGAATACGACCTTGCCATTCTCAGATGTCCTCCTAGTTTCCTCCCTTCTTTCTTACAGGTCTCTGCTCAAATGTCACTTTGCAGGCCATCCCTCTAAAATGGCTGCCCCCCATTGCTGTCCTCTTACCTTGCTTTATTTTTCTTCCTGCTACTTAGCACCAGCTGACACAGTATGTTAGTCTGCATTCTTTCTTTACTCTGTCCCCTCCCACGAGGTCAGGAATCTTGTCTGCCATGCATACTGTTGTATTCCGGCACCTAGCACAGTGCCTGCACACAGTAGGCCCTCCCTACATCAACAGCATTTCCACCGAAAATTGGCATCCCTCCAGGGTGCCTGGCCCAGGGATCTGCAGCCAGATGGTTGCGGGGGAATCCACCATGGTCCTTCCCAAGGATTCCCCATCTCCCTTGTTGCTCGGGCTTCTCTCTCCTGACCACGGACTCTGTCTGCCTGTCCCACACTTTTGTCCCTAATCAGGACTGAAAGAGCTTGTCCTCTGCCTTCTCCTCTGTTAGAATCCCAAGGGCTATAGACTACTTCTGTTCCCTGCCAACTGCCCAGACCCTGAGAGCTGGGGAAGTCGAGGCACAGAGCTATAGCAGTTGATATGAGAGAGGCAGATTGGAGGGGGTGGGGAGGTTGGACTGGTGGCCTGGCTCCAGAAATAAAGCCCCTTGGCTCCTATAATGTTCCAGTCAATCATATGAAAACTCCCCACAGGCCTCTGGGCAGCCTTGCTCTGATGGCTGATTTATCATTTTAATTGAGTGTGTGCATATTGATTTCTTCCCTGGCCATGGTGCTTCTTCCAGGGCAGGACTGAGAGGGGATTAGTTATAGAGAAAACCCTGGGTCCTGTTCCCACTTGCTCCTGTGTGCTGGCCTTCCCTTCTCAGAGCCTCGGTTTTCCCATCTGCAAAATAAGGGGCTGTGATAGGTTATCTTCAAGTCTGATGAGCCTGAAGTACCACCATTAGCCTTTGCGTGAGGGTAATGTTACCTGGATGGGGAGAGACAGGAACCTGCTTTATTCAACCCTCTCTGTGTGCCCAGTCCTGTGCTGGGCAGGGGAGGGTTAGGGTGGGCGATGAGAGTAAAGTGATTGAGAGAAACAACTCAGAAGTCTCGCAGGCCTTGGAAAAATCCTGGCTCCACACATAGCCTCAGTGTCCTTATCTGTGAAATGGGGGTATTACTACCTACCCCAAAGAATTTCTGGGTGACAAAATAAAGATAACACATGGCAAAGGTGCTTAGCAGAGAGCTTGTCATATAGTGAGTGCTCCGATGAATGTTAGCTATGGTGGCTGTTACCCACATTCATCCTCCCCCAGCCCTTGTACGTTTGGTGAACTCCTGTTCATGTGACAAAACCCGCCACATGCCATGCTTCTCTGTCTTGTTGCTGTAGTTGGCACATGCAGCTTCTTACTGTGTGTCTATCCTTACACTGTCATCACGTTATTTGTTTTTGTTCTTAATCTCCCTCGTTGGTCAATGACTTTTGGGAGGACAAGGACCAGATCAGATCCACGACTGTGTTTCCACACCAGGCACAAAGCCTGGTGCAGAGGAGACGTCTGCAACGGTAACGGGCAACCTACTTGGCACATGTCAGGGTTCAGAGGGAGTGGGAAAGAAGAGGGTTCGGCAGAAGCAGACACACCAGGAAGGCCAATGCCTCACAGGGTCCCTGGGGATGACCCTGAGGCTGGGGTGGGGTTGGGGCCCCAACTGTCAAGGTTGGCTGGCTCTGCACTAAAGGACTCTGGGAGTTTGCCAGGGCCAGCCAGCCCAGGCCTCCTTCTCTCCAGGGCTCTATTTACCAGGTATCGATTTTCCTGCCTGTTTACTGGTAGTTATTAAAGGCTGTGTCCCTGGAGTCCTTTTGAAATGAGATTGGAACCTGGAGAGCTGGAGTAATTAGGGCAGCTGCTGTCCTCCCTGCTGGGCTCTGCACCCTGCAGCGCTCGCTGCTGCCTGCCTACCGGTCCATCCACCCCTCTGGCCCAGGCTGGCCAGGAACCAGGCTGAGGGGGGACAGCTGGTTCCCTGTGACCTGCCTGAGCTGCGATCTCGAGATTTACACTGGGGCAGTGGCCGAATGCTCCTTCTCCTCTGCAGTGGCCTTGGCCTAGATCTTTGGCCAAAACAATGGGTCTAAGATAGGGCTTGAGGTTCTGGAAGATGGGCAGGCCTCAGACTGATGGCCTGGAGGCATGGCTGGTCTTTCTCATCTACCCGCTCAGCCAGTGTCCTTGAGCAGATCCCC